TAGGATTCTCTCGCACGGAATACCTACATACTATCTAGTTAGATTTTATAGGTTAATTGCACACGTTTATAAATAGGTACTACTTGCATCCGAATAATGCAGTCGCGACGTAAACACGGCAATTAGTCACTCGTAAACTGGAATGCAACGAAACCGCTCAATGCAGTTGCATTGCTCATATATTGTATACGATAGGTTTATCAAGTTGATCATTTTAACAATAGACGGCGTAGTACATAACGGATTGTTAATATTACACTCCACAAAATCGCGGTGTAGTATTTATTTTTCTCCAATTAAATGTTGTGCGCTTGACGTTATTATGTGTACGACACCGTCTCGCAGCCGAACGAATAGCATGCTAGTGCCAATATTCATCAGAGAAGAAAACATTCAAGAGAAAAATACCGTGGCACGTTGCCACAATAGCAAGTGGCAAGCCCGCGTACCGAGTTCACACAAAGGTCAATAAGGATCGATCACGGGTCGTGAAGATAGGTTTTGCTTGTTACAATCATAATTATTTAGTATAAAAATAAGGTAAACGTTTGTAAGCGGGACGCGCAAGAAGAGCGAAAATATTACTGTAATTAGCCAAACGAGGAAACTCAAAAAATTGTTCAACAGTTTTGTGAACATACTTACAAAAAAACCACATCTTAATCAATATCTATACCATATATATAAATACCTAACGGTTCGAAACCCGAGACGGGAGACTTGAACGAACGGAGACGTACGTGACCACCGTGTAAAGAAAGACACGGTTGTTCCATTCAATTTAAAAATCAATAACACCACCGTCGTGTTAGGCTATATTCTGCTGTCATATGTATCCAGAACGACAGCGCGGTACCATTGAAACCAATGCTCGTTTTTTACAACACACACACACACACAAAGCTGTGTAATCCGTCAAAGACGAGCAAGTAGTATAAGCATATACGGCGCTATATAATATATATATATATATATATGATTAAACGGGTTATTGGATTTATTTTAGCGACGATGAGTACCGTTCGCACCTATTCCACGCACTTTGATCGTTCATTTAATAAGAAAAAACCCCACGCGAGGTACTACACACACAATATTCGTATGTGTATAATTAATTTGTTAACGCATCTTCGCTCAGTCTATATAGACACTGGTATGTATACGGTTGCAACGCCAGTGGGTACTTACAGGCCGCGGCTACAATTAGGTACACGTTACTTACAGCGCATAACTTCGAAGAAAAAAAATATATATATATATATTTTTTTTTTAATCGGTATAATTACAAACTGTGTTTTGCTGATTTGTCAATGCGGTATCTCCTCGGGCGAGGCCAATCCGTGTGGTTGGGTGCACAAAAAAAAAATGCACACAAAAACCATCAGTTTCGATGCGACCATCAAGTATATTATTGTTATGCATTATAATCACAAGAAACGGTTATAACGTTGCGTTATCGACCCTAAGACGTGACTACCCATCACGGTAATACGGCGATTAATGGACATACGAATTTGTGAACAATTTAGATCACACTAATTAAAAACAAAAATCACTTACTAATTCAACCCGATGAGATACTAACCAAATGCGTAACAACGGCTCACAGCACCAATAATGGAAATTGCATATTATCATACCGAGTGATCCACGATAAATTGATCACCATTAATGATCTGTAATGACATACAATGTAATATGTACACGATTATGACGTCTGCTTGTTAACGAACGTCGAATGTGTATTTTATAATGTACTTCTGTTTTTTTTTAAATTATTAAATCGCATGTGTCGACGTCTCAGTAATATCATATATATATACTATTATATGCTGAAAATAAACGCGGTTGTGCAACTGTTATGACCGAATGCGATGCGACCCGAGTATAATTATTACTATTGGCTAAGTTTGTAATGTAATTGAACTTTGACGCACTAAACGATTCCAGAAAATTCCTCAAAAAACATAATCATCGCGAGCCAATCAGAGTACAAGTACATTATACATCATTGCATTAACTCTAATCCGGTACAACGTACTCGATTATGTGTACCTGCTGCATAAGACCTGCACACGAACGGGACGTGATGCCATAATGACATGATGTTATACATATATATATATATATATATATATATATATATATATACATACAAATAGTAATGGCTGATATTAGTGTGAGAGTTCAATTTTGCATGTTCATTTTGTGATCCCAAAGAAAAATTTGCTAATTGAGACACTTGTAGACCTGATTGGGCTTTACTTGCAAAATGTATTTTATCTTATACATTTTTTTTTTTATTTGATATTGTGGTTGAATATTGGCCCAGTATGCATAATGCATACCGGAACGTACTGTAATAAGAAAACATAATTGTGTTTACAACTGTGATTAAAAAAGTCTTGCAAAGTAAAATATTGTGACAACTACTTGTTGCAAGTGTTGTAATATTCTCAAAGTTAATATTTTTCCCTGTATATGACACTTTTAATTTTTTTTCTAAGTATGTTAATATGCTATTGAATAGAATTGTGTATATTTCATACACAGAACAAGTGTTTTTTTGTTTTATCAAATAAATATATACTTTCAATTTTTAAAGTTTGGATTAGAATAAAGGCCAAATTTTACAACTTTTATCAAATTTCTAAGGTTTCTGCTTTATACTGTTTTCAATTCTTAAAAATATATATTATAAATGATTAGGTATTTGAATAGAGATGTCGCATGAAAACCCTAAATCAATTTCAGCAAAAAAAGTGTGTCATTTTGTGGAATAGAGTATTTTTACATTTTATTTAGTCATAACATAAAAACATTGGGATTGAACTGGAAAAAAACGCCTTTTTATATAGTCAGACGAAAAATCTGAATAAACATTAATCCGGTTAGGTTTGGAATTAGGCTACAAACAACTTTTTCCTATTAACACAATGATTTTTTTAACGCATTAATTTGACATTTTTTATTTTCATTCAACCTACATAATTTTGTTTTCCTTAATGAAGCCGGAAGTGGTTAGATAAGTTTCAAGTGATTATTTGATTCGATAAAATTAAAAAAAAGTAAAATTAGAAAACTTAATGTTTAGAAGGGTCAACATTTGAATGTCACCAATTCACCAGATTTTTTTTTATACTGAATAATCAACTCATCGTGAACCACTCGATATCTCACTTGGGTTTAATTAATATTTGATTTTTTTTTTCATAATGTTTTTATACAATGTGATCCCAACTACCCCAACTCAACCAACTTAAATGTATGCGTTACCATTTAAGTTTCAAAAGTTGATGTAAAAAAAACTAAGTCGGGAGGTGATAATAAAAACAAAAACAAAATGGTGAAAAATTGAGATCCCATTGCATAAACACACTATTTATAAGCAAAAATGTAATTCCTTATTAAACCCAGTGAGTTGTTAAGAGGTTCGCGATAAGTTGATCACCTTGTATGCAACTGATTGTTTACTTATGCAAGTTAAGTGTAAAAATAATTAAGTTTATTTATATAAAATGGCAAATTCAATTAACGCATATTATTTCAATGATATTTAATTGAGTATCTGAATAATTTAATACTATTTGAATAATTTTACTCGAAGACTGTACAATATTTAAATTTAATGAACACTCTTATTTATCAAAATACTTTTTAAAAAAAAGTGACCCGAATAGCAACGGGCGATATGCGCACCCAAATCAGAGTTAGAAATCATTCGAATATTTGTATAAAGCAATGTATAAAAAATTATAGGTTTTTTTTTTTAAATATATTATTTGAAGCTATAAGAACCAAAGTGTAAAACAAGATTTTGAACTTGCAATACTTGTAAAATGAGATCATCAACTGTGTTTGTGTTCTGATTTCCCAAAGAAACGCAGAAGAAAACTAATGAACATCACCAATGAGAATACATTGAAAATATAATAATTCTCATTCTGCTCTAGGTACTGTAAGATGTTGTAAAAGTTACTCATACCCTTTTTTTTGTTCTCGCCATTTTATAGATGTAATATAAAAAAAAATAATAAAGCTTAAAAATCGAGGAATAATTGACATATGTTGGTAATAAAACGAGTAGTTTATAGGCTAAAACATATTAAAAGTACATGCCGAAGTTTGATTTCCAATCTCAAAACATTCGCCAAGTTGAGTCCGGCATGTAGATTACTTGATTTATAATTTTTGGAGAATTATATAAAAAAAAAATGTTATTATCAAGCAATTACCTCAGAAAGCATAAGAGTTTAGTGAGGGTGAATATGTAATTATGAAGTACAACTTTAAAGCTCTGTTGTGATTGAACTATATGAAATTGAGTTCTTAAAGTCTTCACTGAACACGCTAAGGAGATTCTATAATAAGACCTTAAATAACAAATTCGTTCTTCGGTTACTGGAGAAACATTTAGCTAAAATTGACAATTATTGTTTTAGTTCTATATCTTCTTGACAAGTTCATTCTGACGAGCTTACAGAATCGACTTTCTATCTCTTAACCGTAAATTGAAAATTAAGCGTTTTCTAAGATGTAACGCAGACTTGTTTTCAAATCCAATACCGCGTTGGTATGACATCCGATCCACCTGTATATTATCTTATATTAATTGCAAGACAAATGACGGATCAAATTTTCGTTCATCTCAATTACCATACTAAATTCAATCACAAGCAGACAATTGACTTTTACAACGAACGACACGCGTTCCGTGCTTATCCACGAGGCCCACGAGCGTGGTGATTCCGTGAGGGAAACTGGAAAACATTAGGCGGTCGGCGGGTAACAGGGAAACCGGCGTTTGCGAGTAATAATAATTATTATTGCTGCCGTTGGGCTCGGACTCCTCGTGGCATTGGCCGCAGCAACGTCGCGTGTACACCACACCTGACAGCCGTGGACCTTTCGCCGGTGAGAAGAACATCTAGATTCGAGTCTTGGAGTGTTGGTGTTGCCGAGGTCCCCACTGGAACGGACGTGCATTCAAACAGCTAACCCGGTCGGTATAAAAACCAAACACTTGCCACCGACGCGATACAGTGCGTTACAGGGCTGCTGTCTGTCTATCTGTCTGTGTGTGTGTGTGTGTGTGTGCTCGTCCATACAGTGCCCCCGGCCGGTACATCTCGTCTTTTTGGAAAACTAAAAACATATATTTTCTGGTGTTTTTTTTTTCGTTTTTGTCGGCGCTTGTTGTGTTCCGGTGCTTGAGTTTACCGCATAAACCGCGTGTCTTCGATCGGAGTCGCTACTAGCAAACATGACGGTTAGTACGCTATTGCAATATTATATGTATATATTTTTTTCCCCCTATATTATCAAAACAATCTGTACAATATTTATTTTACAATAGTGTTTTTTTTTTTTTTTTTGACAAGGATATGTACATAGCTTGAATAATTAGCACGCGAGGAAGCCACCCGGTGGGTGACACCTCGGAATATTATATTTTACAATAATATAGGTACATATTCACATAGAGATTTATTTCACGTGCACGTGTATTATTTCCAAAACGGCACAAAAACCGAAAATTTCCAAGCCAAAATACCTATCGGAAGACCATGTTGAGCCCATATTGTACTTATCGTGGTTACAAGTTTTTTACTTTGGCGTCGCTTGTGATATATTATTATTGCATTAAGCGTTCACTGGCAGACTATTTGTTTAAATGTAATTTTATCTATATAAAGCTTAACTATATAGTATATACGATTTAAATTACAATTTTTTATTTTAACGAACCTAACTTTTTAAATGGCCTTTGTAACACTGTAAATTGTAACGCTGTTAATAATACATTTTCAACTTGCAACTGTAGCGTTCATTTTGGTATCGAAGTGATGACAACCAATAAAGGGCACAACTGAACATCTTTTTTTTTCCAAAACCAATTTATATATTTATACAATATTTGTAAATGATGCCTTTTCTAATTCTTATGAACATCAACCGTATGACCACATTGGAAGTATAATTTTTATCTTTGCTCTATATTTTTGATTCTCGTCACTTCAATATTATTCAACCTAGTAAAATTTTAGTTATTTAATAATCAATAATTTTTCCAGACAGACTTTGAAATCAAAATAGGTATACCTACCGTCATATATTATAAGAAATATAGAAATATTTAGACTTCTAAATTTTTCTCCCGTCTTTTCTTATGAAATTTATCTTATGTCAAAAACAGAGCTACTATAACCACAGAAACTTATTGAAAACAGATCTACATCCTTCCATCGACAAATAATATCTCTTTTTTTTTTTTTACGAATTAGGCTTTTTCATACGAATCAGTTAGTAATAAAAAAAAAAGAACTTTATGGTAATTAAAAAATAAATCTAGAAATATTTTTCTACTTGGGTTTCTTAACTTGTCTTCAAACCCAGAAGTATGATGTACATGTAAATTAATACAATTATTGTTATTTTAGTATTTTTTTTGAAAAACTTGCGCTTGAATTAATATAATATTTAATACCAACGTATTATTAATTAAATAAAAAAAGTAATGTCTAAGAAAAAGTCCAGTCACAGTGGTAGTGCAAATTGCACCGTGTAACGATTTTATTTCAATAATCTCTTACGGCATTTCTAATTATTTTTTACTTTTAATTTTAAAACGACTCTATTGAAACATTTGCAATCAATTTTACAAAACAAAATATTAAATTTCGTTTGAACAATGGTAAAAAAAAATAGTAAATTGTTTCATCTTCCTATCCAATTCAACCGCGTTAACGCACTAGTACACCTATTGGATAACGCGTTGGCGCCGTCCATGGACGGTTTTGATAATAATATAACAACCGTAAAATCGTTTAATATTGGCCGCTTTCAATGACAAACTCTATTGTGGTGTTATATAAAGTTATGTGTGTGTGTGTTTTTTTTTTTCAACAACAAGTATAGTCTTCACCGATGACCGGCATCGAGGTTGAAACCGCAACAACGTTAGATAGTGATTTATACTATTGTTATTATAATGGAATAACCATTAGGATTGGTTATTGATTTCTAAATTGACAATTAACATATTCATTTTTTTAATTTTTTTATTTTTAATACCTTCCATACATTTGACAGATGTAATAATTATTTGGCCGCAAGCTCTGTTCATCTTGTTTCGAAACCGTTTGTCGGTATCGACCGTGCGAACCGTTATGCAACATTAATATAATGTATTGCCAACAAACGATATGTGCTTGGCCATAAGTGGAAACCTAGTTCAAACAAAACAATCAAAAACCTAATCTCGACCAAGTGGAATTCGCCTTTGGGAACTATGTACAAAAACGAATCGATTGAAACACACAATAGTGTACGGCACGTCGTTTATAATGTATAACATAATGATAATAATGTAATTTCATTACACATAAATACTAATTGAACCGCCGAATTCAATTTGTACCAAAGTCAAAACGGCTCTGTTGAATTCAATTACAACCGTCCCGTCCATAGACAGATTCCAAGAGTAGAAGAATAGACATTAAATATAATATTATATTATAAACAACATTACTGCTCGAATGGGTAATTCAACGTAAACGTTCAATATAGCAAATAATAATTGGCAATAGGGTTTTATTTAAAATTTCTATGAAAATCATTGTACATTTTTCGCCCCGCAGCCGTTAAGTCGGCTTTCACTCGGTGTTCAAAAATAAAAACCAATCATAGTAGTGCGATAAGTAGTACCTGTTTAAGAAAATTATGGCCAAATAAAAAAAAACAATAATCACAGTTCTTCAAAACCGATTTCAGGGCGAGGAACTCATTCGAAGAAAAAAAATCCTTGGGACACTTATTTCTGGGCCTCACTACCTACTTGTTTTTTTTTCTCTTATAGCAACGCTATAACGAGTTCGAATATTTAATGTGTGTATATATTATAATGTATATAAGGTCACGATCAAATAGCTTATATTATTGTAGTATTATGCATTACGGGTTTTCAACATTGACCATAACGTGTTCCAATACCACGTCATTATAATGCATAATATATACAACGTTTTACATACCTACACAATCTATAATATGGTATTTTGCATAGGCGTAACTCGTTGAACTTGGGGGGACTTAGCCCTCTCGGTGTTGATTTCAGAACTTAGACCCCCCCCCCTATTTTACTCTCTTATAGTCGGTAACATCTCTACAAGGTTTATTAAGTTTAACTTAAACAACAATTGTGACACTTATTAGGACAAAGACCCGATTCGGATTTTTTTTGCAAAATCCTTAGTTTTTTTTATAAAAATGTCTTTATATTTACATTTATTTTATTTTACTAGAAAAAATGGGCTTAATAAATGTTATTTTATAAACCAAAGTTTACAACTGTGATTAAAAACGTCTTGCGAAGTAAAATATTATGAAAACTACTTGTTGCAAGTGTTGTAATATTTTCAAAGACAATATTGTTTTCTATAAATGACACTTTTAGTATTGTTTTTCTAAGCGTGCTAATATAATATTGTGCATGATATTGAACAATAATGTTAAATTTCCTACACAGAACAAGTGTTTTTTTTTGTTTTATTAAATAAATATAAACTTTCAATTTTAACAGTTTTGATCGGAACAATGACCCAATTTTACTACTTTTAAAATATTCCTTAGGCTAAATTAAAATTAAAAATTAATATTTCTTATAAATTAAATCATACCCGTTAAATGGTAATAAATTAGGCGAAATAATAAAGTTTTTGTTTAAAAAAAAATGTACCTTTAAAAAATAACAGTGTTTATGATAATAATAATAAATGCAATTCAATGTATAACAAATTGTATGACCAGTTAAAATACTTGCATACATACTAAAAACAGTTGTTATCTTAAATCGTCCAACATAGCTGTCTATTATGTTTGCAATATTGTAATTTAATAGGTTTTCGGTTAAAAGACCACCCGAAACGTCGTCAAATGTACATTGGCAGGGCGGGTGGATTATTTTGTATTGTGCAGATAGGTATAAAATGGAAAACTTTCTACAGCCATAGTACTCTTTCTGCCGTCTGCCGCAATTGGCACACTATCTATTAGTATGTGTTTGTGTTACACCGAAATGTTCTATATTTTATTTATCGCGTCCATATTTGTCGCGTTATTTTTTTTACGTAATACTCATCTCTTTCGAGTTAGAGCCGCATGTACAACGTGTTCCAGTTGTGCTCTTTAAAATACAAACGGCACATAATATCTTATTGGGCAATCCGAATGTACCTACTACACACACACACGTCCTATCTTTGGCAGCAATCCACTTCGGATAGCGCCTTGAATTCCGTCACATAATAACATATAATAATATCATGCCCCCACGTGCAGCTGTTTATAAATATTTACCCTAAAAAAATTAACGTTTGGCTTAATTTATTTCAAACACACATCTTGTATTGTGTCAAACGACACCGACACCGTCTCCGAAACCGCGTTACAAATATTAATAAAAAATAGTTGCCATAATGGTTTATTTTTATTTTTTTTCAAATGTCTGCAAGCCTGTTATCCGTGCAGTTGCAATCTTACATCTTGTACACCTGATATGCTCAGGAATGTCACTGTTTAATTTTAATTTTTCCCGGCTCGAGTACCTAGGTATATTTTTTCAAATCATCTGAAAACTTTATAGTTTTCCAACACTGTTGTATGGGGGTGTTACATATTATTATTCTGTCGATTGAACGTCCACACCACAATGTACGGTTTAATTAATACTCTCGATATTATCGCTATTATTATTACAGCAGTCCAATGCAACCTGACCGTTACGTTACACGGACGGCCAAATCCTATTACATTGTTAATACATAACAAATATTATTAGTATTATATTATTTAAAGTATTTCACGACGGTGCCAGATGTATTGTGTACGAAAACCCATTACGTGATCGGTCAACTGTGCACACAGCTGCTCGTGATAGCGCCATTAAGCTTTTATTCGTGTGTTCCGATGGAGGAAAGAGATTTATAATAATAATAAAAAACGTTTTCAAAAAAAAAAAATCAAACGGCATAACCCGGGACAATACAAAAGTGTGCGGTTATGAACAACAATGTGCCACGATGAATGCAAAGTTATAACACAATATATATAATAATAAAATATTAATCCGTTATCGTTAAGGCTGGCGACGGTGAAAGCGTTTGAAGGGTTATTTATTTTTTTTTTTTTGTTCTACCGCCCTTAGTTATAGTAATTATTTCCTATACATAAGTATACGCATAACAACAGCTGACCGGACACGTAGAAATCCGCAAATCTCTTCCGCCAAATCGGCCTCGTTAAAAAAAAGCAACACCGTTTTCGTTGTTTTACAAGCGAAGAAAGTCCTTCCTTGTAACATTTGTTTGGTTTTTATTTTTCTACATCAAATAATGATTGATCGAGTTGGACGCTGTAGACAGCTTCCACTTACTAATTATATATGTATATTTCATTATCATAGGTTAGGTTTAAGTATTTAAATCGCAGTTTCAATCGACCCGTTTATAATTATTTCAATACTCTAATTATACTCAAAACACACAATACACGCATAGACGTGACTTTTCGGCTCTTTTGAACCCGAACGTTTCAAATGCATTTGACCTTTGCTTTGCTTGTGGTTAGCATTTGAAATTCAATCTGTGATCGCCCACCGAGGACTATAGCTATTGCAATGGAACAATCTACTAATATAATATAATATCGGTTATATAACATATACAACAATAATAAAGCATAATATTCCCAGAGTTGTAGTAGTACCGTTGTATAATTTGTTTAGTTTGTAATAATCAAATTATTGTTACAGCACTTTCTTTTGCCTACTTTTCCCTCAAGAACAATCATTAAACTAGTGCTAAATGTATAAGATGTGAACTTTTCTAAAAAATATATTATACATTATAGCTGCTGTTAATTTGTCACTTGTTATGATATATAGGCGCGCACTAAGTGTCAAACTGTCAGCGGTCAAGTTTAAGTACAAAAATATTTCGGGTAGTTTTTATTTTATTAAAACGTTTATCGCTTTTTCATTCCGTTAAAGAAATCTACCATAGTGACCTATTTTTTTCTCTCTTTCTAAAATCATAATTCATTTTCTTTTCGCTTTTTTATAACTTGAAAAATAATTTATCGTTTACCATTTTTGTGCCTCTAAATATTATGATCTTCCCCGCCGTACAAGTAAAACATGTAGTACCTAGTTGCTAGAAATCTCTAGCTAAGTTGATTAAGACAACAGCCTAATGGTAACGGGCAAGCTGAATTATAATTGCGCCGGAGTGATTGGCGGCGATAAATCTTTGTGTACTTAAGTACCGCACTTTCTTTGCTCTTACCGGATGATAAATGATCGCTACACGGATAAATGGCTAATTGCTCGTGTTAGCCGTTTTATTACTTAATAGTAGCACTGAACTATTGCCGAAATCCAATGGCATTAAAGGTTGGCCACGTCACACGCCTTGCGGGGTGTACATCACACATTGATACAACCGTGATTAAGCCTTTTATTTTGAGTTTATAATTCAGTGTTAATTATGACCGATTACAAAACACCTACGGCCTACCGAATAAATAATTGGTCATGCCAATAAGGACATCAAACATATATTTACATTTATAATTATACACGGGAATCTTGTGCAGACTTCGGGAGATATTAAAATCTATTTTGAGAAATAAAATAGTATACAGTCAATTAGGTCGGGGGTTACATTAGCACTTATCCCGAGTAGGCAGACGGGTGAAACTGTCAACAGACACCTTTTTCTTGGAGTAGCAGGCAACGATGGTCCTAAACAGCCGTCTAATAATGCTCCAAGTACACACAATTTGAGGACAATTTCAAGTACAAAAGCTCAACAAACTATGTAAATAATCACAACCGGCTGGCGAAATCCTATTATTCACTCCAATCTTCACGGTTTGCCACGACCACTAAGCTATCTTACTTGTTTTACATATTATTATATTTAGGAGGTTTAAATAGAGAATTCGGTATTTCCTGACTACACAAATGAGTGGCTCGGCTGTTTGTGGAATATCTAGCATTCCACGAGTACTTACATCTGTCGCGGTGACAACTTAAATTTCTCTTTGCTAGAATATGGGTAAATATATTACTTTTTAAGTCGAACGTCGATTTGCTTAGTTTTTAGTAAATTCCTCGAGTCAAAATCCGTTTTAACATAAATTCCACACCAGTCGGATTAGCATTTTATTTAAACGTTCCGGAATTCTATGACCTTAACGCAACCGAGTCTAAGCAATAGATCATAAATGTTGTTGATCATAATCTTGCTCAAAAATATTATTCTAAGCATAAAACGTTCAGAAAACATTTTAACTCAGTCAATTCACATCCGAATATTAACACCGTGAGAAATGTCTTTATTTACAGCCGTACACGTCATCCGCTTAATTAAGGCATTTTTTTTTTTAAATTTTAATTTAAAATTCCCATTAACGACTTTTATACCCAATTTTTGTTTGTAACAAGTTTGATATATTATTTTTATCGCGTAATTATAAACGACGCTAATTAAAAAATACACTATTTTTTTTTATTATTATTTTCTTCAAATAATAATATACATTAGAGAGTGTATTAATTACGATTTTTTTTTCTTCTAGTTGCTATTGAAATCACTGTTAATTGCGATTGTAACAGCATCGCTTGTAGCTGGTTTACCCACCCCAGCGCCAGAAAAATCACTAGTACCCGTTCAGCGTCAAAAAAAACAGTAAGTATAAATTTTACTATAAAAAAATACACCCACACATACGTTTTTATTGAACAGTTGAATGTTTAAGCTATGTCAGATGAAAAATGTAAATTGTTTTATTAAAGTATTTTTATTGTTTTTTTTTTTAAAAATCTTTGGCGAAACATTGGCTGAGATATTTCATAAATTTCTTTTTTATCTAAAGAAATGTTCACTTTCAATCTGATTTAATTAAAAATACATGATATATTAACACGTCATTCTGTCAAATACCAGTATATATATATATATTTTTTCTCAAATTGTTCCATAAAATCGGACTTGTCCTAGTTTTTGATTAGACATAATATTAATATTTTTATTACTATAAATGGTAGTAACATTTATTAAAAATATCACTATTTTTATTACTAATATTACTATTATTATTATTACAATTTTATGCGCAGCGGTCAACGATAAAGTTTTTTTTAATATTTTATATATAAATATATTATAATTTGTCTATGAAATTAAATTACCGTAATACTAACGGGCGACCTACATTTTTATTGAAATTTCGGAAATTTAATTTTGCCATTTCACGTTTGTAGTATAATAAATAAAGGGTAATTTATATATAAATATATATATTTAGATTAGAAGCGCTTTAGTATACATTATCGTTTCAACGATCTCGTATTACCTTTAATACTTGCAATAGATTTTTATTATTATTATTATTACGTTGTAAATCCATAATATTGGTCTATTTAAATGACTTATTCGGAAACATTTAATAAATTGGCCGTTTAATAGAACGTAGCAAACGGGAATACATTGAATAAGAGCGGTTTTACATGTTGTATCACTATTGAGTGTTGAAATCCGTTTGCCAATGAGTTAATCCGTCCGTCCAATGTGAATACCGTTACTTGAGCTACCAAACGAGCTAGTGTCTTCCTGTTCTTCTTCATTCTTGCCTTTCATTACTGCCCTCTGCCACACGTGACCGAACCGTCTTGACCCAGACTTCTCATTGTGTTTTGCCATTCTATCCTCCCTAGTCACCCCGATCATCCGCCTTAGCACTCCCGTCTCAGCCGCTACACTCGTTCTCTGTTCAGTTCCAATCACACAAAACTCCTGACGCTCCTTCCACAATTTATCACATTTTTCACGTCCTCCTTGTGCCCGCCACCTTTTTTTTTTTTGTACTACCGGCTACCAAACGAGCTAATAAACCTTTTGTTTTCAGCGCCGATGGAGGTTACGGTTCGGATGTAGTCGGCTACGAGGAGCCGCCGCATCATCATCACCACCACGAGGAGCCGCACGGCTACTGGAAAAAGAAGCTGGCGTGGAAAGAGGAATGGAAACAAGAATGGAAAACCGTCAAACAAGAAGTGTGGAAGTCGTCGTACGAGCAGACCAAGGTGCCGGTGTGGAAAGAGGTCCAAGTGCCCGTCTGGAAGGAGGTGAAGGTGCCCGACTGGAAGGTGGTGCAGACGCCGGTCTGGAAAGAAATCAAAGTGCCCGTGTGGAAGGAAGTCAAGGTGCCCGACTGGAAGACGGTGCAGGTGCCGGCGTGGAAGGAAGTGCAGGTGCCCGTGTGGAAGGAAGTGCAGGTGCCGGACTGGAAGAAAACCTACGTGCCGGAATGGGTCAAGGAGTACGTGCCCGGGTCCAAGCAGCTGGGCAAGGACAACCACGGGTGGGAGTACGTGGCGCACGACTTGTGGAAGAAAATGTTGATCTGGAAACCGGTGTGGAACAAGGTGTGGAAGACCGAGAAGAAGCAAGAGTGGGTGACCGAGAAGAAACAGGTGTGGAAAGAAGAGAAGGTGCAGATATGGCGGACGGAGAAGAAGCAAGAGTGGATCACCGAGAAGAAACAGGACTGGAAGGAGGAGAAGGTGCAGATCTGGAGGACGGAAAAGAAACAGGAGTGGATCGCCGAGAAGAAGCTCGAGTACAAGACTGAATGGAAAGAAACTAAAGTGCCCGCTTGGAAAGAGATCCAGGTGCCGTCCTGGAAGAAGGTGTACAAGCCGGTGTGGGAAAAGGTTTGGGTACAGGAGGAACACCACGACCACCACGTGTACGAAGACCACCACGACCAACACCAGAGTGATGGTTACGGACTTGGCGAAAGCTATGGTTATCATAAGAAATAATCATATTTTCCAACCAAACAATTATTATATTTATAAGTCCATCAAGAGTTACCTCCCGAGTCAATTTTTTTTTTTCATACCAGCAATATTATTGTACATAGTTTTTGTTACCTTTATTTCTTATTCTTTTTTGTTCTCGATGTGTTATTTGCTTCTTTTTATTTTTATTTTGTAATGTAATAACGATAAATACAACGAAACGTTGTGAACATAACTCTACGCATTCTGATGTTGTTACTATTATTATTATTAATAATATTATTTTTACATCCGACAAAACCCTATGCCCCCGACATGTTTAGTGTATGCAACACATTATTCACAACAGTCGTATGGATTGTATCGGTGAAAGGAATGTATTGAACAGTCGTACGGTACAGTGACCGCTAGAGGTCGGACAACGTTTCAAAGTAAGTGTGTGAATACTTTTATAATTATTCCTCCAAACCGTTTTGTTATAATTTCAATGTTTCACAGCTTAATCAAAAGATTCAACATAAAAACGGCCGAAATACAAAACATATGAATTGTATCTTTTTATCAGCAGTTTTTACAATCATAGAAACTAGATCTTAACGGATTTAAACTTGAGTTAGTACGCCTCGAGTAGAGTCAGTCTGTTCTATTGTTAAACAGTATCGATTTCAAAACAATTATTACCTAGTATGCTACTCGGTTGTTTTATTAAAATATCGTGGCTTATATAATAACTATATTATATGTGTGTGTAATTTAAAAAAGAAAAACTCCTCTTTGTACACATTAACAATCAATTTTCACTGGATATGTGTACCCGAGTTAGGCCCATACTCGTTTGATTGTTCAATGATATCTGTCACGTCATGTGTACTATTATGACCGCCACAAATGAAAAGCGACACATTAGTCATTCCGTTATAGCATATTATGCTTAATTAATTGCACCCGCAATAGCGGTATAGTGTTTAAATGTTCAAATTATCGTAACACACCTTTCCTATGGTGCATCATCTTGATAAAAATGGCCAATTGACAGGCATACAAAAGATGCAATGTTGTGCTTTGACCACTGGCCATCAGATCCTGTTTGCTGCTTTCACGATAAATAATTGTATATTGTGTTACATTATTTATATTGTAAGAGCAAAATTGTAAACGGCATGTGCATCATCTTATTAAAAATGGGAAGTATTCCAATTGACAGGCATACAAAAGATGCAATGTTGTGCTTTGACCACTGGCCACCTGATCCTGTTTGCTGCTTTCACGATAAATAGTTGTATATTGTGTTGCATTGTTTATATTGTAAGAGCAAAATTGTAAACGGCATGTCTATATTGATCACATCGCACATTTTCTTCTATTATTATTATCATTATCATTATCGTTCGAATGGTAGATCGTAATACGATAAATCATAATTGTCATTGTCTGCAATTAACGATGATAGTTATTATTATCTTGTCGGCACTCCTCCTCCTCCTCCTCTTCGGCTATTATAGTTTAATAAATTAAAAATGTAACGACGATTGTTCTTTCTTTCGACGTATTGTTGTTTTGTAATCTATTAAATCGATTCGGTTACACAACGGAAAACATTTTCTTATTTATGTGCGTTTGTTGGATGGATCGGTCTTTGGCGCCGTACATTAGTTCTGCGGATAAACGGCGGTAAATTATTTAATCCGGTGAAATCTCTGTCTGGCACAAAAATTGGCGTTACACGGTTTTGGCACGCGTTAAACGACACTTTCTGGTAAATCATTTTTTGCCGACACCGATCTTCGGTAATTTAATAACGTTTAATCACGTTAAGGTTAACGTGTAACCGAAAATCGTGGTGCTCATCTTGGATTCGCAGGCCTTGTGAATGCACTGTAATTACTATACAGTGGAGTTGCCGGGAAACTGCCGAAGCGTCTAGACCGAGCACTACATGACCGTGTCAATGACATTAGGAGCTAGTCATTATTTTCAACGCGTCTAAAACCATCTTAATAGCTGTTATATGCTTGTTAATTTTACCGATTGTCGGCCCAACTCGTATCCAAGTACTAGATCGGTCTGCCACTCAAATTCAACCCTCCCCCTCACCACACAAATCGACATTGGATTTGAAAGAAAACAGATTTTTTTTTTTTTTTGAAACCGAACTCGGCCATAGATTATTTTCTAGCTCGTTTACTTGTTTTTTTTTAAACAAGTTTCCAAAGTTGTTAGCAACAGTAAGGTTAGGTCGTAAGCAAATATACAGAAGAAAGTGGAATAGAAAAATGTTAATTTAAATCTATTCTGGGTTATCACTCAATATGTCACTGGGTTTAAGTAATAATTGGTTTTTTTTACGGTGTATTTCCACAAATTTTTATGTTCCTACCCGCCTCCCAAATTAGTGTTTTTGACACCAACTTTTGAAACTTAAACGGTAACACATACATTTCATTAACTTTTTTAATTGAGAATAATGTACTAAAAATGTAGACTGGTCGCTAACCAGTTTTGAACAACTATTTTTTAAGTTAAAAGAGTTTGAAAGTTAGGATAGGATGGTAAGTGCGGTTGGGAGGTGCGAGCAGAAAAAAAATAATACTACACTCCACCTGTCCTCCTGCCCTAATTCTGAAACTTCAAAAATTTTCATGTGTAGTTATCCAAAACGGGTTATGGACCAGACAACATTTTTAGTATTACCACTTTAGTATGCATCACCATTTAAGTTTCAAAAGTCGCTATCAAAACAACTAAGTGGGGTGGGTTGAAAACATGAGAAAAAACTGTGAAAAATTTACATCACATAGTATAGAAACATTATGAAAAATAATATAAATTAAATTTCTTATTAAACCCTATGAGATCCTGAGTGGTTCACAATAAAACCATCGCTGTTTACTAAGATTTTTTTGTACAATGTTGTTTAGTTATTGAACATATACATTAAAGGGCGCTCACAGGGAAGGGCATGGGGGACAACCCACCCCCTAGCTTCTCTGCAAGTTAAAAAAATCATATCCAATATCCCGAATTTGCTAAATCCATTACAAAATCATAAGCGGCCCCCCCTCGAATTTTCACCTGTGGGCGCCCTTGCATACGTTATTATCTATATGCGTTTAATTGTATTTTTTTATACTTATGAAATCATAAGACCACATAATGCTATTCGTGTGTACACAAACACTGTGGCACGGTAAAAATCTTACTCATAGGTGGATGACGTGACTATATATTATTGTAAAAACGTCCAGATGCGAGTAGCACACATAATAATAATTTGTTCGTTACATATAACATGTTTTGTTTACATCGGGAGCGAGTAATTAAGTTTTGATGTTTTCATATTATTATACACTTACTATTGTGCCAACAATATAAAGCGTAGGTCGAAACAGCGCATCGCGCGTGACGGCAAAAACGAGGATAAGCGCGGTAATTGAAGCTAGATCTAAACCCAACCGGGTGGTCAAAATATTATGTGTATCGTTATTATGTCATTGGCTGTTTATAATTCGGCTGTTCAAATGCTATTGAACTGCTGTTGCTAATAATGATGGGCGAAAAAACGCGGCGATTCGCAATACAACAACAGCCGTGACCTCAGGCCCGTTTCCGACTTTCTTCGGGTTTTGCCCGAGTGGGCAATGTGTATGAAACCTATAATATATAATGCGATGATAAAAAAAAACGATTTCATACTGACATCATCATAGAGCACGGGCGACGGCCACTTAGCCGGTATTTCGCGTCGTGGGAGGATACAGGATACAGGTACAACACTGTAATATATTATTCAATGACAACGGGAAGCCATAGTTACATGATTTTCGACACGCATATATTTGTGTTCACTCGTCGGGCTGTGGTCCACGAAATATAACAGTACAATAAAACAAAAATATATTTGTATTATACATTGGCTCGTCCTGGCACGCAGCTATGTGTATACCGGACTGGTCCGTGGGCAAAGCCGACGTGAGGTCCTTTACACAAAATATGTACACAATTTGTTGGATAACAATGGTCGATTGTGTTGATGTATAGTTGCGCAATGCATTTACAATACAATAACTATGCTATTGGTACGACAGCGTCCATTCCGAAGCCCGGCAAGAGTACGATGACGGCGCTCTGATCGTTTGTGGATATCTTATACGGATATAATACGTCTTCGCAGTGGTCATGACAAAGGCATCACGGACCAAAAACCCGTTTAACCGCATCCGAAACGATTACCAAACATTTGGCGTTGGTGTCTTGGACCCACGTGTCCAAGTTCAAGGTTGCAGTTTCCGAGAGATTTCGTTTTAATTACCGAAATAATTGCTAAACCGACAAACGCGTGCAACAGTCAAATCCTAAAATACAGTTCACTAAATTATGGACAAAAACAAAATTTAAATAAACGTGCAGCTGACTTGATCATTTATTTCATAGATTTATTGATAGAATATTATTATGTTCATTGACATATAATATTCGATTGCTGGTGTATCGTAAAACACATTTCACACAAAGATAATAATAATAATATGTAATTTATAGCGTAACATATAGCGCAAATACCTGTTGAATAACGATTATTACAGAGCGGTTGTATTATTATTATTATTATTGTGTTAGTAATACATTATAATATCTTACGCGGTTTATCTTGATAGTAGGTGACGTGAATAATGGGATTACTAAAAAACAAAACCCCCGATAAGTTTCAACGATTAAAAAAGTAATTATCGAGTTTTCATACTTCCATAAGGCACTTTCTTCAATGCACAAACAACATTCCACATTCTAGTTTCTACGGGCCTCGGTACAGTCTATACTACGGTAGATATCTGTTGTTGACATAATAATAATAACAATACAACAAAAATATCACAAATTAAAAAACCATTTTGTCGTTTTCATATGACACGACGGTCTTGGCAACAAGTTTTAATTGATAAAACAAATCACACGAGTCCGCAAAGTGGCTGTTTAGTGTATTTTAGGTAAGATATCCTTCAAATTTCTATAACTTTTCGAGTTATCAAATTGCTATACATTATTTCTCCTGGTATAATATGTGACCAATTTAATGTTTCTGAACTAACTAGACTTACAGCTCTTTGTAATGGAAATTTCGGAATTGCTTTTTTTTGCCATATAGTAAAGTTGACTATTTCGTTTTATTGACAAAATTGGTTATGATTTTTTAAGCAATTAACATAGTTTAATAAATTCATACTTTATCGACCATTA